GGTGCTTTGTCTGCACCCTCCATACTTGATTAGCAGTTAAAGCCCTGGCGGCAGGAATTCCGGACACCAGGTCAACCCAATGCATTCCTATGGGTACTTTTGGGCACCAGGTCAACCCCATGCATTGCTATGGGGGCTTCTGGGGGCAATGTCAACCCCATACAAGCCAATGGGGAATTTTGGGCACCAGGTCAACCCCATGCAAGCCTATGAGGGCTTCCAGACACAATATGAACCCCATGCAAGCCTATGGGCACTTTCAGGCCCCAGGTCAACCCCATGCAGGTCAATGGGTGCTTCCTGGCACAATGTCAACCCCATTCAAGCCTATGGGGACTTTTGGGCACCAGGTCAAGCGCATGCATTGCAATGGGGACTTTCAGGCACCATATCAACCCCATGCATTCCAGTGGGGACTTCCAGGCACCATGTCAACCCCATGCATTCCAATGGGGACTTCCAGGCACCATGGCCACGACATTCAAGGCTATGGGGACTGCCGCCTTACCATTCCTGCCTGCCTATGGCCAGACGGGACTGATTGTATGCTATCTGGAAAACTAAGCAGGCCCGGCCCTGGTTCGTACCTGGATGGGAGACTGCGTGGGACTCCTGGAGGCCACCTGCCCTTTTGCACCAGAGCGGGACGGAGCTGGCCCTGCCCTTGCTTCGCCCCAGGCAGCGGGATTGGGCCCCAGAGCACCGTCCACCCGGCAAGCCTTTGGAGCACCACCGCATGGAGTAGATGGGGCCGCTTCCGAGTCCACCTGCATGCCTGGCAGAAGTCAAGTCTGACCACAGAACTTCAGGGTATAATAATGCCTCTTCCCCGCTTGCCTTTTGGTCTTCCCCTGTCTTCAGAGTATACTGCAGGCCTTGAGTAAAGAAAGTCTGCCACAGTTCCCTGTACTGTGTTTAAGCCCTTCTTCACTCCACTTCTTTTTGTCTATGGCTTGTAAGTAGAGATGAGACCAATTCCTAGGAGTATTTAGCTTCATATATGAGCAACACAGCATGAACAGCTCCGATGAGAGACTTATATAAATTGGAGAATTGGGCCAAAAGAAATCTCATGAGATTCAATAAGGACAAGTGCAAAGTCCTGCACTTAGGACAGAACAATCTCATGTACCAGTACAGGCTGGGGACTGACTGGCTGGGCAGCAGCTCTGCAGAAAAGGATCTGTGGGTTACAATGGACAATAATCAGAATGTGAGCCAGCAGTGTGCCCTTGTTTCCAAGAAGGTTAACAGCATACTGGGCTGCATTGGTAGGAGTGTTGCTAGCAGATCAAGGGAAGTGATTATTCCCCTCTGCTCAGCATGGTGAAGCCACATCTGGAGTACTGTGTTCAATTTTGCTCTCCCCCCCCCCC